TGCGTCTCTGGGCAAGTACCGGTGACTTTTGGTCGGCGATTAATTCCCCTATCCGCCACCTGGGGACGCCCTACGTAGCCTCGTCACTAACCGGCTGGGGATCCTTCAGTGAGAGAGAACCCTCAGTGAAAGGAGATCCGTAGCGGACGAGCGTATAGGGGATTTTATTCGGTCTGAGTGGCTGCGTGAGCTTTCTACCGAGTTAATTACCGGATACATGTCGGACGATCGTATAGGGAAATTTCATTCGGTCTAGGTGGGAAATATCGAGTGCAGCAGTCAGTCAACAAATAGCTTTTTTGTAACGGATGTGAATGAAGGGCGATGATTCATTCTATTATTAACGCTTAAAGTTCCGACTGGTGTTTCCATGTACTGGGGGACCTATTTTCCATAGAACCCTTTCAGTTCCTCAACTGTGTTCTAAAGCGACTTTCAGTGTTTTCCAGCTGGGTGTACGACAAGATAGACGGAACTGCTCCAAGCATTATGTCGACCGGTCAGCAAATGTTGATTCGAGTCCGACCGAATCTTTATAACACGAAATCAGTACTGGATTTTCAAGCAATGGCCACAGATCTGCAGCCAGGTATTGCTCCGAAATTTACTAAACCTCGCAGCGGTACCAGTAACCGATTCAGTGAACAACATAAGAGATAACTCAGTGTATATAACAGGACTGCTACTAGAATTTACGTGTTCATCTCAGTTCTGTTAACTATTTGGGGAACTTCTTCAGATAATCAATGCCCACAGCTAGTGTATACTGCGGCTACGGCTGGACAGCAAGTAACCATTCAGCTTACGGGATCGAACTGCATTCACGTAAGGAACATCTTTGTCAACTAACGAAAGTGTAATTGACCATACAGTCCACATATTGTACACTGTAGCGGTGAAAAGCTAAAGCTAAAATCAATTTTTGTTGTTTATCATCTGACAGAGGTATGGGGCGGAAAAACCAAAAAAGGTACTTCACTCTCACCGACAAGGGAAAGAGAGGTCCTATGTCTTATCCCAAAGTGACAACATAGCTTCTGGGCAACTTTTTGTCGCCCTATTAGAATCGCTCTCAATGTTTACAACAGTTTTTAAAATGTAAAGCCTCGAACACCGAATATTACCTATCTTTATTGTCTTCACAATTCAGAATTTCAGGTATATCACGCGACAAGTGATTATGGACCATCGAATGGGATTACTGTCGATTTGGGAAGTACATCACAAGTAACACTCTACAAAGGGCTGACAACGAACGTCACCAATATGGTCAAATGGTATAGTAACCTTGCCTAGTCACTACATGGATACGAGACCTCATTGGCTGCTTTCATAGTCCGCCGGCGTGCCGGCGTGCCGACGTGCGTGCCGGCCGGCCGGCGGACTATGAAAGCAGCCATTGTAGTCGGCCCCAAAGCATGAGGGAAAGTATAATGAAATGACCTTTCGGATCTTTCGGATGAGATGAACTTTCGGATCGCGTACTGCGGCGAAATAACAGCAGTTCAACAAAACATCATGTCAAAAACATATAATGAAATGCAACAGTCATGGAAAATAGTGTGCAAGTTTCAGTTCATTTTTAGTGCATACAGTATGGAGTACCCAAAGTTTATTTATGGAAGTTATGTGGTGATACTCTATAACTCTTCAATCAGTGGTACTGTCAAATACTCGTGGGCTAAAGGAAGTGAGTTCAGTAATTCAGAACCCTTTAACAAGTTGGCCGTGTTTACAACAAATAAACCTTCCAGGCATTTCTTAAAATGCTCAAATATTTTGTATTTCCCACTCAGGAGCCGCACAATATGCTTAGCCGTAATGAGTGGATGGTTTTCAGCATTTACCACCACTTTGACGATGTCTCCCGATGATACTGGAATAATTATGTCAGAAGACTATCTCCCAGAGTATCCAATATCTGCTTTCGAACAACAGTTTTCAATTGAACTGGTAAGAACCTGATTCGTTTATGTGCTTGTAACCTCCCGGAGGAATCATGGTGACACAAAAGATAACCAGAAATACCCTCGAATTCTACGTGAAAACCTCGTTCATAAGTGTTATGAAGGTGAAATTCAGATCGGAGATAGCACCCATATGACAGGTATACGGATTGAGTTCCTCAAACCATTGGGACAGGGTCATGGAACACTTCAAATGCAGCAATACAATAAATTACTGAAGGAGATTCCGTGAGTTGAGTGCTACTTCTTTTGCGAGTATTCACAAAACTAATGAAGAGACCCCTTGAAGATATCCGGCAGCCGACGGAACAACAACTTTTGAGCAGTGCGGAACAAAAATGATCATCAGTTATGTATCTCCTGGAGGATCATCAAATGGACTATACGCACGATATAGTCGAGGTACAGTTGAATACAATTCTAGTAAAACTAGTAATCAAAGCTTACTTCCATGTTATTTTAGGTAATGCAGGTAGTGTAGGCAAGCAGCATTGAAAGGAGGGACTTGTTGACTTCAAAACACTCTAGAAATTGAGAAAAAGGCGTAAAAATAGGGTATTCTTCTCGGCAGTAGACCCCGTTGGGAACAGCAGACATGGTCGCGAAGAAGAAATAGAATTATTCGTATAGGAGATGATCGCTGAATCCTTCGGGAACTTTTTTTTTTGAGTGAATTGCCAACTGGTACTCGACTTCAAAGGTAAATGACACAATAACCGGTGACGGAACTTCTCCCCGAATTCCCATGGCCTGCGACAGTGGTTCTGCGGCGACTGCCGTATTCTTCCACTGGGAATTCGAATCTTTCATTTCACAACGCGCGATCGCGTGCGGCAAGCGCGACACGCCGTTCGGGGAGAAGATACCAGACCCCGCTATTACTCGTACACTTCTCATAGAAAATTTCTGTTTTTCAACCAACAACTTGTTACTTTAGTTCTCAAAGGGGAATAAATCAACAATAGATAAGAAGCGCAAGCATGACGATCAGCTACCGTACGTGAATTCCATCACAGATCACACCCAACCTAGCCGACTGTACCAAACAGCCACGATAACTCCTGTCGACCGATTAACAGTAGAATGGATTCGGCGGTAAAATGTATGTAATCAGTGCTGTCCCTTCAACGATTGTTTCATACCATGGCTCGTTCGGCAGAAGGAAAGAAGTCGCTGTGAATACCAAACCGTTCACCTTTCATTAGTGTTTGCCCCACACTATGTCACTAGCGATGTCTGCTGTTTCTATAGGCTACAGCTAATAGAACTTGAACGTAACCCCGACTCAGACCATAATCCGAATGCACGGCGCATATTCGAAGGGTACACTGCACCGTATTCTTAAAAAAGATACTTGCAAATAAGTGTAAGCAGACAAAGTGAAGAAAAATATCTCGAAAATGATTTGATAGAGGCCAAGCACACTATTATAATAGATTTTTTCACAGGATCACAGTCGTGCAATCACGGACCGTCTGTTGCAAGGATCTCTTTCTTATTCATGTCAATTCTGTTAGGTGGTTTACTCGGTTGTACATAAATATTCTCAAGTTTCTTCAGCACCAATTGAAGAGCAATAGCATTATACTTTCATTGTTTTGATATTATAGCATTGTGTTATGACTGGGTACTACTGCCCAAACAGCATTCTGTATACTGGTACAAATAACCCCGACTTGAAACACTACATAACTCTTGCTTTAACTTGAGCAGCGTAAAGATTTTAAGGGGCTTCTAAGACGAGCTCCAGAAATGCTTGATTCCTACGAGGAGTTTAAACACAAGACATTCGTAAAGGCTTTCCTGTAAGCTGGGACCTCTACAAAGTAGTCGTCAGGTCAATTTAACTGTACTTGGATGTTTACACTCCTTGTTTTTTTTTTCGAACGAGACCACACTTTTGATCATTGCTTTGCTAAAGTAGACTTGAGGCAAGGAAGGCCAATTCCTCAACATAGTGGTCATTTAAAGGCTTCGGGCTAAGGTTTTGCTCATGGTAGGTCCAGTGTTCCAAAGAAAAAGCTGAAGTCTACCAAAGTCAGGCTGACATTGATAGTGCCCCTTCGAAACGCTCATTTCCCTGTAGAAGAGCTTTATAAAGGCTTTCCTGTAGGCTGCTAGAATCCAATCGATACCAAAAATATGAGATCTCCCTAGAAACTTTCTAATCCCCTTCTGTGCCAACCCCTTATTTTCATTTGTGTTTAACGGGATGAAGTTGACCATGGTAGCGCCTTCGAATCCACGA